CTGCCCCAGGCTGCAAGGCACAGCCGTTCACCTTGGAGTGGAATAGGGGCAGATATGATGAGTTTTACGGATCACAGCCCCTAGATCTTGCAGCAGGTGGGAGTGGGGGCAGTGAGACCCAGTGTGGCCGTGCTGCACCCTTTCCTGCAGTCATCCGGGGAAACAGCAAGGGAGTCTCCCTGCAGAAACGCGGGAGGAGAAAACAGCGTCAGACTCCCGGCAGCAAAAAGAAATCAGGACCAGAAGCAGCTCAAGGGGTGGTCCTGAGGATGTTCCCTGTCTTCTGCACTGAAACACTAGGGGCACTGGACAGGACTATTCCAAATCCTCACTATTACTTATTAAAATGTTGCTATAAAAATATTTCCAGCCCCGTTCCTTATAAATGTAGAGGAATAGGTATTTTTTTAAAAAAGGCTTTAGAGATGGCTGAGATGTTTTCTTTAAAGTACTCTTAACGCCATAGAAAAACTGGATAAAGAAAGAAACACAGCACAGGTAGTCTCTGAGCTTCCGGGCCCTGTCATGTCCACAGCCAGCTCTGCCAGTGCAGGTATTTGAAAATCAAGACTAGTGACCAAAGCCCAAGTGCCACCTGCACTTAGGGACACTTTCAGACTATAAAAGCGGCCATGCCCTTCTGTAGGGACTGTTTACACACCACACTTCCCAGCAACTTTTGCTTCATCTTATAATCTGCATTACACACAGAAACTGGGGAAATCGAGGTACTCCTTTTCTTCCTACACCTAGCTTCACTGAACTTTGCCTATCTGTTCCAAAACCTCTGCTGGGTATCAAATACAACAGAGACACAGAAATCCCCACTTCAGGCAGGGTCTTCAATGTTTCTGCTCTGATTTCTGTGACTTTTGCAAACTTCAGGGCTGGTGGGCAGCAGGAACAGGGAAGAGGAAAGTCCTGGAAATCGGATTTTGTGGCAGCTCCATCAGGTCTGTGGCACTGATTTTTCTGTGCTGGAACAACTGGAAAGTGGCCATCCGTACAGCACAGTCTCTATGGGACATATCCCTTCGTACTACTGATAGGTGAGAGGTCACCAGCACTGTCCACACCTGCACCCTCATTCATCACACCCAGATGAGCTGCAAAGTCAAGTTTAAAGGTCCCTGTAGAGGTTTGTCAGGATGGTGACACTATTCCCTGCAACTATACCGAAGGTGAGACAAGAAATGAAAAAAAACAGGAAAAGGTGTTAGGCAGGGACTGGGTCCCCTGCAGGACGGGGCTGCTGTCTGTGCCAGGCCTCACAGCTCCCAGGTGAGGGAGCCCACAGACAGGCACCTGCAGGGGGTGATATCAGGTGCTGACCTTCCTGCTCTGGTGGGTGTGGTTGTTGCCCAGGTGTCCCAAGGCCTGCAGGCCACTTCAGACAGGAGCCCTGGCTCCCTAGTTTCTTCATAAAGTGCAGCAGCTTGGAGCTGTGGACCAACTGGGAAGCCAGGGCGAGGCTGCAAATGCCAGGAGGAGAATCAGCCCCAGAGAACATCACCTCCGCCCCATCCTTGCCCATTAGAGACAGAGTGCACCAAGTCAGGCCCCAGCCACCTGCCAAAAGCTGGGCCTGGGTCTCGGATGGGTATTGGTGGCTGTTTTGCTTTTCCTGGTGGTGGGACTTGAACTCATGGCCTCGTGCTGAGCTGCATTCCAGCCCCTTAAAAAAATTTTTTTTGAGAGATGATCTTGATAAGGTGCCCAGGCTGCGGCTGGAACTTGTGATCATCAGCCTCCTACAGGACTAGCAGGACTACAGGACTACAGGCTTGTGCCACCAGTTCCAGAGGCCAAGAAGTAACTTCTCCCAACCCAGGATGTCTGGAGGTCCAGGAGCCGCCCAAGCCCGGCCAGGACACACAGGGACTAGGACAAGCGTGGGTCCCCGGCCACGCAGCTCCGATCACACGCGCCCTGGACGGAAAACCCCTGGCGACCGCGTCAGCGTCGACCCCGAGTCCCCCCCCCCCACCAGGCCACAGCGCTGCGGGCCCGGTCACGTGCGCCCAGGCCTCACCAGGCTCCGTGCGAGTTAGGCCGTCGCGCTAATGGATTGTGACTGTGCCGTCTCCTGCGGCCGCGCTCGCAGCTGCCTCCAAATCAATAGACGTCAAAGGAATACGAAAACAATCGCGACCCCAAACCCAAGTCCTCGCCGTGGCCCACGGCATCAGAACCGCGCCGCTCGCCGCGCCGCCGATTAATTTCCCGAAGTTGAGGAGTTTTGACTCCGTACCTTTTCCCAGCAGAGCGCGCTGCATCTGTCGGGTTTGTAATGTAATTTGTAATTACTGCCCTTCATGTGGTCCGGTGCCGTGAACCATCTTTAATTAAAAGCATAATTAAGGGAAGATCTAAAGAAAGACAATTACCAGATGGTCTTTTTTTCTTTTTTAAGGAGAGGGAGTCTTGCGCGGAGAGGTGCGGGGTGCAGCCGGGGACCAGCCTGTGAGGCGCGGCGGCGCGTGCGCACTGCGCCCCGGCCCCAGTGACCGCGGAGCCCCGGGAGGCGGAACAGGGACCCTGACCGGGCCGGGGTGCCTGCACCCGCGAGGGCTGGAGCCGGCGGAGGCCCGCCGGGTGGGAGCGCGCGGCGCGGAGCCCGGAGCCGGACGGACGCGGGCGGACACCGGTGCGGGCGCGGGCGCGGGCGCCGTCCGGGCCGACCAGACGCGAACCGGGCGGCGGGGACCGCGGTCGCCTGCGTCCCCTTCGGGTCACGTTCTTAGGATCCGAGTCGGCGAAGATTTAAGGAGAGAAAACCAGTGCCGTCTCGAGGCTCTTGGCCCCGTTTTCTGGCCGGTTCGGCGCCGGCTCCGTGCCTGGCCCGGCTGCGCACGGGTCCGTGAGCCCCGAGCAGGCGAGGCCGGAGCGCGAGCCGGGCCCACGCGGTCCCCGGGCCGGGTTCTCCGCGCCCCGGGACAGCGCGCTCCAGGCACCCAGGCGGCGTGCGGATGCGGCGTCCTGGGTGCGCGGCGGCGGAGCGCCCTCCTCGCCCGGGGGCGCGGATTAGGATTAATCCCGATCGTCCCGCCAATGCCGCCTCTCGGGTGTTTTATTATCCTCATTCGGGAGGAAACGAGCCCCTGCCAGGCGCGGAGCACCCGCACCCACTACATAGCCGCGCGGGCCGCGGCCGAACAACCCCGCGGGCGATCTCCGAGCAGCGGATATTATATTTGTGAAATGTCCTTTTGTGGAGGCTTTTAACACCTTCTTATAACGAATCATTTGTTCTTTTCTGTTTAATTTTGATAGACAATTAGCCATCAGAGATACACCCGTGGACTGAAACCGAGCATTAAACTCGCCTTTATGTAACGCTAATTTAGCATAGCTGCTTTGTTTAACTTTGCCATATAAGAACCAGGTTTTGTAGCAAAAAAAAAAAAAAAAAAAAAAAAATAGGTGTAATTTTATGTGGGGCTTCATTTCTTTTGGCCCTGCCGGCAGCGGCAAGTGGGGCCCGCTTTGTGGCACGTTCTGTGGGGGCCCGGGCGCCTTTCCCTGCCCAGCACCTGCAGGCTAGGGGAGAGGGAATTAGCATTGATATAGATTTAGTTGAAATGTAATCTCTTAAATCTGTCCAAGATTCGGGGAGATAATTACACTTTCACTGAATTGCCAGGGGTCAGCGTCTCGGAGGACCTGAGGAGTTGATTTACTAACAATAGTGTTACATAAAAAATGGCGTTTAGATTATTATGTTAATGGCTGTGGTCGCCGGGGAATGCGCTGCTTCCAACTAATTCCGTGTAACTTGGGTTTTTTTTTTCCTTGCCGCCCTGGGCTCTATCTTTGTAAGAAATCAGAGGCTTCTCGGGGCTGACTGTGGGGTGGGTGCCCAGGGGTTAGCACCCATGGTATGGAGCTCGGAGTGCAGCGCTCTCTCCGGACACTTGCGCTGATTCCAGGTGGCTCTGAGGCCAGGCTGGCTTCTTCCCTGCCTGGGTCCTGCACAGGAGACTGGTGCCAGCGGGAGCAGCCAGAGGAACCTGGCTCCCCAGCCCACCTGTCTGGAACCAAGCTCTTGTCTTCCCAGCCTCTAGCCACCTGGCCACCCTGCCCAGGCTTCCCCTGGGATCCGCCTGTGCCTGGGGACATAGCTTCCCACTGCAAACGTTATACTCTAGCTGGACAGACATAGGAAGCTGGGACCTGGGGTAGGATCACCTCCTGAGGGCTGTGGATGTTTCCAGCCTCCCAAGGGCTCTGGTCACATTCACAGTCTAGACACTGCCCAAACTTCTGAACCACCCCTGACCTGCAGCACCTCCTGAGTCACCCCCAACACTTGTAACCCCCTCCAGATCTCAGTATACAGGGCCTCAGTTTACCTAGAGACCCCCCCAGCTGGTTTGTCTTCCCTATACCCCCACTTCTACGGGCCAGAAGAGGAAATGGTTCCCTTGGGTCAGACAAAGGCCGTTTGTGGCCTCTTCCAGGTCGATGCCAAGTCCAGGGGTGTCCTTGGGCTCCCCCAGATTGAGGCCTAGGCTTATATCCAGGACAAGGTCGCTGCTAATGCAGACCCAGGCTGCCTCTGCTCTCCACCCCTGCTCACAGGGACACCAGGCAGGGCTGACGGTGCTAGCGCAGAGCACGGGCCAGGCCCTGGACCCTCCAAACTGCACTTCTCTGATGAAGTGGTGTCTGCCAGCGCCACATTCCCAAGCCTGAGCTGGCCAGGGGTCTGTACTGGCCCACTCGTGACAGCCCTGGAGGCCTGGCGCCTGAGGCCCTGGCACCAGGAGGGGGGCCTGTGCCCGCATGTTTATGTGGGCGCTCCCTTATCTTATATGTAACAGCAATATATATGTTAATTGAAAACTTCTGAATTTAAAAAGGTTGTGACAAGTTATAATTTGTCCTGTCAATGCCTTGAATCCTTATTTATCTCTTTAGCTCGCCTCCCCAGCCTGTCAGCCAACAGCTTGCCTAGCTCGTTGACTTCCTCACTCATGGCACGGAAATGACAAATGTGCTGTTTTATCCGTACAATTTATTTCATTATTGTTGCCAGCACGAAGCATCACCATCAATCATAAGGAAGTCCAGTTGGCAGGTGTCAGTCTCGGTGTGTTTTTGTACGTCTCAGTCTATATTTAATCCAATTATAAGGGTCACGGAGTAAGTGCCAATCCTCTTGTTACAACTCACATCTTATTTAAGATTTAAAGTAAAAAAGTCAACTCAATCACATAGACCTTTGGGGAAAAGTCGGGGATATGGTTGGAACCCATCTCTCTCTCTCTGGCTCCTTTTCACCTCCAGTTTGAATTACACAGCCATCCCTTTTTATTAAAGAGTTGCCCAAGTCCGAGTTTTATTAGCATTTGTGTGCAAATGAAGCTGCTCCTGATTTTGCTAAGGAAGAAGCAGGCTTAATGACCAGGCATCTTTCCGCTCATTGCCCATTCAAATACGATTGCAGATCGAAGCTGGCCTTGTCACGTCGAGAAACAGTGAGTTCCTAACACCCAGGACGTGGCTGTCGACTTTCAGCGAGTTGCATCCAATCACCCCCAGGGAATTCAGTTCCTGTCTCCACCTCTGCCGGCTGAGCAGCAAAGAGATCGGCTCTGGGCCGGGCGGGCGCTGCTTCCCGGCCGCCGAAGGGCAGGCAGCTGCTGAAGTAGAGTTTTCTTACTGGGAACGCAAGCTGGAAGCACTGGGTTTTTTCCAGGCTCTGAGAGCCTTTGCAGTGGCAGGAACCTCAGGTGGGCTTAGGAGGATGGGTGAGGAAGGGTGGGGAGCTCGGCCACGACGCGCTCTCTTACACAGGTGAAGAGATGGCAAACGGAATCTCTGCTAAACATTTCTCTTTATGATGTTCAGATTCACAGGATGTTCCTGCAGCTTTCATCTAAACTACAAAAGGGTCAAAACAGAGGAAGGAAGCAGAGGAGCAGGACAGAGCCAGGGCTGAACACCCGGCTCGGCAGCTTCACCCGGCCGTGTGTGCCCTGCGGCAGTCAGCACTGTTCCAAACCGTCCAGAAAGTGCATAGTATTTTCCCAGTGGTGCCGAGACTGCTCCCCCTTCTATTAAATTCTAGGTGAAAAAGTGCCAGGAGACCCCTGTATCGATCAGCATTCTCCCAGGAATACTACTCTTTTAAACAGAAGTTAATAGGATGTACTGCTGTCCAGGCTTAGTAAAATGGAACTGAAATATTTAAGTGGGAAAAATCCATTTCTACTTTTCAGTGGTTGGGACAATCAATGTTCACTGTCGATGAAAAGAGAAATAATCGATTCCCACCCACCCGGGATCCAGGTCCTCAGGGAGGGGCCACTTATTTGCATAAAGTGGGGGAGAGAAGAAGGGTGAGACATAGAGACCCACCCTAGCTAGGCTTCAGGGCAGGGCTGGGGTTCCAGCCTGGGCCAGCCTCTCCCTCTCTCTCCCTTTTGCCCTCCCTCTTTCTCTCCCCTTTTTCCTTCTCTCTCCTTCCCCTCTGTCTATCTGTCTGTCTCTCTCTGGTTTCCTGTCTCTCTCCTCTGTCTCTCTTTGTCGCTCTCCTTTCCTCTCTCTCCCCTCTCCTTCCCTTCCCTCTTTCTCCTGCTCTCTCCTCCCTCTCTCTCCCACTCTCGGCCTCTTTTCCTCCACCCTCTCTTCCAGCCTAGACTGGCTCTGCAGCCTGTGCTCTGGCTCCTGCGTCACCTCCCATCGCTTCTGCCGGGCTGGAGCTTGCTAGGCAGTCAGTCGAGGATGGCATGGCAGGGAGGTGGCCCCAGAGCCCCTGACCTAGACAGCCAGAGCTGCCACAGAGGGGGAGGAAGGGGCAGCAAGGAGGAAGATGATGATAACCAGAGCCGGGGCTGCCCTGCCTGTCTGAGAATTGCATGCTGGGCAAGCCGGCCAAGAGGCAGCGGGAAGCAGAAGAGCCTCTTTCCCTTTGCACCCCACCCACGTCCCACCCCGGGGTAACACTTGGTGGGTGAAGCTGGCCTGAGCCTCAGCCCAAGAGAGAGGCCAGGCTGCCCCTGGAGGTGCTCTCCCTGCAAGCCAGCCCTCTGGACCCAAAGCCACTGGTGGCACAGAGCGTTGGCCAGCATGCAGCTGGGACAAGGTTCCCGCAATGGAGTTGAGCTGCACCTCTTCCTGCCTGACCAGTGCTGGAGGGCACAGGGCCAGGCAGGTCTCACCCTGCTTGCACCCCAAGGCCGAGCCCCAAGCACACCCTTGGCTACCAATAAGCAGGTGGTGGCCTGGGTTTCCAGCTGGCCCTCCAGCAGCCTGCCGGGCTGCAGAGATGGATGGAAGCTAAGGCCTGCACTTCCAACAGACCCAGCGTGCGGCCCTGGGCGGCAGGGGCAGGGGACAGAGGACAGGGAAAGAAATCGTGCTGGACAGAAAGCAAAGGCTGGCCTGGCCACGCAGGCCCAGGCCCTCCGGGAACCCCGCCCAAGTGAATGGTAGTGGAGAGGCAACCTCAGGCCCTTTGGAGCTGGGGTGCACTGGGTCCTGCAGAGTGGCTGGGTGCCCAGAGAGAAATTGGGTCACAGGAGCGCCAGCCTGAGAGAGCCACCAAGCTGGCTGTGGCAGAGCCAGGCTGAGGCAGCAAGACACTGAGGGGTCCAGGCCTGGCCCACGCAGTCCTGACTGGTGCCCAGGTGCTGTGGGTTCCATCTGCTGTCCAGGCTTCTCAAGCCCAGGGCTCTTCTTCACATCCACTCTCTGGCTCCCACTGCTGGGACAAGACATGCCTCGAGTCCAGCTGTCAGCTGTCCAGGCCGAGGGTGCAGGCCCACCGCCTGGCACAGGCATCCATGCTGTTGAGAGGTCACACACCTGGCTAGGTGCACGGGGGTGAAGTAGGAACTTCCAGACCTGGCACCTTGGTGACATCTGTGTATGGCCCACTTGTTACCACTACCAACCAAGGTGCAAGGGATCTGGCCCTGGAGCCTCCTTCTAGCTGGCACACACACACACACACACACACACACACACACACACAACATACACAATCTGGGCCCGGCCTGCCAAGAGCTGCCCAAGAGTGACCCTACACCCCCTGTCTTCCCTGTCACTTCTCCAGTGTCCCTGCCCCCAGGCAAGACCTCCTGCTGCAGGCAGAGGAGGGAAGCCCAGAGTCAAGAAGCCCCCTGGGGCAACCTTCCCACATGCACTCTGGGCTCTCCGAGCTGTTTCCTCATTGCTAGGGGGTGCAGACCTGGTGCAGACACCAGGTTAGCCCCTCAGCACCTGCCCAGCCCAGGCATCTCCTTATCCCGGCAGGGACAGTTCTGACCCGTGTCCTCTCCAGGCCATAAAGTCAACAGCTGACCCTGCAGTCAACACGAAGTACAATCACCTGCATTTTCTACGTGGCTGGAGCCTTTCAGCCCTGGCAGGGCTCCGCAGGCCGGGCGGGCGCACATCCCTCCGGATCCCTTGTGTCTGGCAAGGATGCGAGCGCTGGGCAGGGCCAGGCCCGTACCATCGCGCCTCAAGCCCCCGGCAACCTCCTGCAGTCGCCCGTCTACCCGGCGCATTCGGGATCCCGCTGACCAAGTGACTCCGGGAACCGAGGAGGGGACAGGTGGTCACCCAAAGAGCGCTGACCACAGCCTGCTCAGGGCTGGGCCAGGGCAGACCAGTCAGTGCCTGCACCTTGGGAAGGGGGAGCAGGGCGCGGGGTGAGCTGCGCGGACCTGGCCCAGATTGGGGGTCCCTGGCCCGGACCCCGCAAGTCGAACCCGACTCGTGTCGTGACGTCACGCGCGCCCGCAGCCAATGAGCGCGGCGCCGCGCGGGTATTAAGGAAAGTTGGCGCCCGCGCGACACCGCTCCTCCCGGGGACATTTAAACTCCAGGCCGGTCGGCCGCACGGCTGTCACAGCGCCACTTCCCCGCCGCGCGGCGGGGACGCGCGTGGGAACCGGCACACCTGTCCCACCCTCCACCAGGTAACGCACGCCCCACTCGCTGCAGGTGCCCAGGCCAGAGGCTCCGGGGACCCCCGGGCTGCCCCGGGCTGCGGTGACTTCGGGGAGGCACGGAGCAGCAGGGTCCCGGGGCGCAGGCGGGGACTCTGGGCTGGACCCCGCACGGTTCTCGCAGTCTGGCGCGGACTCGCTGTGCGGCCTTGCGCGTGGGCGCCGCGGTTCCCGCTGTCCCCTCGCAGGAGACCCACAAGGCCCCGGGTCACGCGACGAGATGCAAAACTTTCCCGAGGTCGCTCAGTGTGGCAGGCGGGACGTGACAAGTGGGAGAATTGAGGCACAGGGACGGAAGCACGTGGGCCTTGGGTTGGCCACACCGAGCAGAGCATGGGGCCGAGCTCGGGGAGCAGAGCCCACGGTGGCAGCGACCACCGGAGCCAGCGGGCAGGGGCTCGGTTTACCGTGGCTCACGCCGCCATGGGACAGAGGACCCCGCCGAAGTGCAGGGCACGCTGTGGTGAAAGTTTCCCGGAGTCGCGGAGGGCAGGGGACAGGGCCAAACTTGAAGGATTTGAGGTTCCGGGGAGCCCAGTCCAGTCGCAAGGCGCGCGCTCTGGAAGTTGAAGAGACCTCCGCAAGCCACACGTCCCGAACCCCTTCTGTAGAACTGGGGTCACTTGGGGGAACGTCTGTATCCCGGGCACCCGCGACACGCGCTGCGGAACCCCAACCTACGGTGCGCGGGCGGCCACCCCCTGCCAGGCCCGCCAGCCCGCGTGCCTTACCTGGCGGGGTCTCCACGGCGGTTGCTTCCTGGAGCCGGGCTGCGAGCAGGTCGCCCGCCGTGCTGTGGGCAGCAGACTTCCTTCTGTAGTCATAAATCAAACCAGCCGTTCTCAGGCCTCCTCCCTCATTAGAGATGTTTATTGGAGATTGTGTTTATTCCGCTGTCACAGTGAGAAAACTCGGTGACATAATTACCTCTGACCGTAGTCCTCGAAGGCGCCCTGGGCGAGCAGGGGATCTCCACGGTGGCCTTGTCGCTGCCCTCTGTGATGGCAGGGCGGGTGCGGTTGGCTTGTCTTTTTCCCCCTGCGGTTCTCTTATAATTTAGGTTATTGGAGGAATTGCTATTCAGATGTCCCAGGGCCGGGTGTTTATGTATTTATTTCAGGATTTGAAAGTGAGGGAGGGGATCCAGCCTCCCTCCAGGGTGGAAGAGTGTATCTGTGGAGTCTCTGCGGCTCTGTAAACTGCGGCCTCACTGTGGCGGGTGGACAGGGCTGACCTGGAGGAAGAAAAGCTGAGGTCAGATCGGGACCAGGGTTGTAGATTCTCTTTGAGAATCTGTGCCTGAGGCTGCCCCCAGCCCGTTTTGGAAGTCGGTCTCTGTGAGAGTCTGGTTAGGAAGTGACGGAAAGAGCTGAATTGTTCTCTAATTGAAAATACAGTTTTTTGAGAGCTCGGGTTGACAGAATATCGGGGATTCTGGCTTTTGATCCCTGGCTGCCGCTTCTGTTGTTTGGTCACTAATAAAACTCGCATTGAGCCTCTTAGTGCCTTGATTAAGAGGCAGATTAACTCTTATGGGGGCTGGGAACAGCTTGTCCCAATCAATGTCATCTTAAAAGCCTGCCGGGATGCGCTCAGCCGCCGTCCTGCTGCCCAGAGCCAGCCCTGACACTGGCTTCCTCCTCCTCCCGGCCTCGAAACCAGGCTGGCCCAAGTACACCCAGCTGCAGACAGGACAGCTTGTGGGTTCAGTCCGGGGCCTTCGATAGGCCACTGGGGATCCCGGAGACACTGTGGCCTTAGTTTGCTGTTCTTAGGGAGCTGAACTCTTGCCTTGGGTTTGTGGGGCTGACAAGTCAACCTTCCCGGAACTCTGTTTGCAAGAACCGCAAACTGCTGCTGGTGTAGGCGTACACTGCATGGGGCATGGGGCAGTATGATGGCAGTCTCAGGGTTAGACCCAGGGCTGTGGTGGGGAGACCCACGGAAATTTTACTTTTAAGCAGGGCAGGGAAGAAGGGGACAGAAGTAGAAAGAGGCTGGCCGCCCAGTGTCAATTGAGAACTGCAGGCACACTGACCAGTTGGCAGGAGGGAGAAAGGAGTGGCACCAGGGCTTCCTGGCCAAGCGAAGCCACAGCTTGGAGGCTCTGGGCTTGGTGAGGGCGAACAGGAACAGAGCAGGTGATGGCAAGAGAAGCAGCTCAAGCAGGCCCTGGAGTGAGGCTGGGTGAGAGGCCTTCCCCTTTGGTGCTCATAGGATCCGCCTGTGGTCTGCAGGGACCCACTGTCCAGGCCTGCGAAGACAAGATCTAGGGCTCTGTTAAGTGACTTTCCTCCCATAGAGAAATGCACTCTTCCCGCTGCAGGGTGGCTGGCATCTGATGCTGGCCACAGGGCCAGTGGGAGTTCATGAGCAGCCCTGGGATCCCAGGCTGAGAGCCAAAGCCTGTCCCCCCGGGGAGCTGAGCTGAGCACCTGGCAAGCCTGGAAGGCAGGAGGAGGCAGGGGTCTCCAGGAGCAGGGGCAGGGTCAGGCCTCCCAGGGCAGCAGTGGCCTCTCCCGGGTGCAAATGGGAAGTCGTGATGATCATAGTGACCTGCGTGGCTTTGGTTCTGGAATACCTCTGGGTGTCCCTGGCCTGTGCCCCTGTGACAGACACCTGGCAGGAGAAGGGAGGGTGCCCCAGGGAACCAAGGACTAGGCCAGGGTCAGCGCCAGGAGGTCATGTGCTCCCCCCTTCTCTCTTTAAACTTTGTAAACTCTGTCTCTTTTCTTTTCAAACCGCCCACTTCCACCCCAAATATTGACATCTCAGAAGCAACCACATCTTTCTGTGCTGGGTCCAGTTTCCAGGCGTCCTTCCCGAGGCCCCTAGCCCACCAGTGACGTCAGTGTCTTCCACTCTCGGCTCCTGCGGCCTCGGGTTTTTGGTGAAAACTTTTCTTGGGAATGTATGGGGGTCGGGTGGGGGCTGGGGAGGCCCGATTTAAAGCCCGGGCGGGAGGGGGGCACAGCAACAAGATTACGCCCGCTTCTTTAGAGGCAGAGTTTAAGAAGGTGATAATCCACCCGGAGCTAATTGAGAGTTGTAGAAATGATATTCGCTTCCAGTTCGGACAGAGCCACCGGCCCTGTCCCCGGTCTTGCCCAGGCGCGGTGGGGTTCATGCTTCTTTTTTGCTGGCTTGAGAAGTACCAAGTGGGAGAAGGGGAACGCGACCTGCCGCCTCAATTCCAGGGGTTCCCGAAAGTCGCGGTCTTGCGAAATCTGGCGCCGAGGCCCGGCTGAGGCCGGCACCCGCGCCGCTTCCTTCTGCGCTCCGACCAAGGCTTCGCGCTTGGCCATACGATCGGGCTTCGCAAGACCCAAGGCCTCTCCGGGTCTACCAGAACCGGCTGCCTCGCCCGCCCGCGCGCCCCGCTCCAGCGCCTCCCAGAACCGGCAGGGACCCTCGGCACCTCCTCGAGTCGCCGGAGCCCCGCGTCCCAGGGGCGGCTGCGTCTCGGCTTCGGTGCTGGCTTCCCGACCCTCTCCCGACCAGGCCCCTTCCCGGCTCCAAGGGCGCCTTCGGAGGGGAACGAGCCGCATTCTGACTGCGCAACGCTCGGCCCTGTGCGGTGCGGCCCGGACGGAAAAGCCGCTTACTTACTTTCCTCCCGGGTTTTCTGGCCGCAACGGAAGGGGCGCTGCGTCCGTGCCCGGGGCCGACCCGGGAGAGGGCGCACGGAGCAGGGCCACGCGCCCCACGCGGACCGGGGCGCACGGCACGCGAGCGCTCAGCCAGTCCGGCCCACCCCGCCCCTCTTAGGCACTGGACCCGCGCCGCACTCAGTCAACAGAGGCACGTGGGGCAGGCAAGAGTGTTTGCGGAGGACTCTGGGGCTTTTCACAAGTCCTCGGGACACACGAGCGCGTGTTTACTCGGCTGTGCGCCGGGCGGGCCTCGCACCGCGGCCTCCGGTGAGAGAGGCGAGAAGAAAGGGCCGGGCGCGGCGGGGTCGGGCAGGCGGAGTCCCGACCTCCCTCAGGCCTGGCCGCGCCTGCTCGCCGGGAGGAGCAGCCCCGGCGACGCCCGGCGCGTTCCGGCTGCAGAGGCCAGGCCAGGCCGGGCAGGGCCAGGTCGGGCCGGGAGGGGGCGCGGGAGGCACCGTGGGACTCTCTCCGCGCGTGGTCGACCCGAGTGTGGGGGCGGGGCGCGACTCTGGGCCGAGGCCTCTGCGCTTCGAGTGCCCAAGTTTGCCGCGGCGGCGGCGGCGGTGCGGGGCCAGGGCCGAGGCGCGGGGCCCAGACCGGGCGCGGAGCGAAGCGGGGCCGGAGGAAGCGGCGGCGGCGGCGCGGGGCGCAGCAAGTGTATTCATATTCAAACAAACGGACCAATTGCGCCGGGCGGGGAGCGGGAGCGGCCAATCGGCTGGCGCGAGGCCCCGGCGCTGCTTTGCATAAAGCAATATTTTGTGTGGGAGAGAGCGGCGCATTTGCATGTTGCGGAGTGATTAGTGGGTTTGAAAAGCGAACCGTGGCTCGGCCCCATTTCCCGCTCTGGTGGAGGCGCAGGAGGAAGTGTTTTGCTGGAGGATGATGACAGAGGTCAGGCTCCGCTAATGGGCCAGTGAGGAGCGTGGCGGCGAGGCCGGGCGCCGCGCACACACGTTAGCACCCTGGGCACCACCGATCTCTTAGGTGTGCTGGCCGCGGCCGCTTCCCCGCGCGCGCTCTTGACTCGCACGCCGCAGCCCTGACAGCCTGCCTCATTGTCACTCTGTCTCCCTCCCAGGGACCCCGGTGTTGCTCTCGCACTCCAGCCCTACAACAGCGTCCGTGGAGAAAACTCTCCCGAGCGGCTCCTCGCGGGCATCGTGCTTCCCAGCCGTTGTGGTCTTTAAGCAGCGGGGACAGAAAAAAAGCAAACCCAAAAAGCAAACGAGGAACCAAAGATTCCCCAGCCCCACAAAAGTCTTGACAGGAGCTTTGGCCGTGAGCGACCCAGGATGCCTCCTAAAGGTGAGTCGCCTTTTCCTTCTTTATTCGCTCGACACCGGGGAGGATGGTCCCTGTCCAGTGCCTTCTCAGCGTCCCTTCCCTACTCCACCAGATCGTGAGGCCGAGAAGTTTCCTCGCCGGAGCCCAAACTTTCTCCCGCGCCCCGGAGCCGCGTTCGAGGGCTCCGGCCAGGGCGCGCGGCGTGGGGCGCGCGGCGTGGGCGCGCGGTGTGGGCGAGCTCGAGGGAGACACCGAGGCTGCAGCGCCGCTCTAGGGCTCGGCGTTCTCCAAGCTCTCGGGCTGGCGGCGAGGACGAAGGTGGCTGCGCAGTGCCTGGGTCCCGAGCGGCCGCAGAGATCGGCCGCTTTGTCCAGCGCGGGCCGCGGGCGCGCAAACCGGGACCTGGAGCCGCGCGTGCCCCGGCTTTGTGCGATTCGGCTGCGCCGGGAAGGAGGCTCTTGGCGCTATCGGGCATCTCGCCCGCGCCAGCCCGGGCCGAGCTATTGGCGAGGCGGCCACACGCGCGCTCGGAGACTCCGCAGCCAGCGCGCGCCGGGAACCGAGCCGCCAGGCCCGGTTGGCGGCGGAGGCGCGCAGCGAGGGACCTCGGGCTGACGAGCCAGGACTGTCAGCTTCCTCAGGCCCAGGCGCTGCCTACAGCACAACTTGAGTGCCAAGCTCGGACTTGGAAACGGGGGCGCTGCGGGTTCCCCCTGCTCTGGCCCCCGCCTGCAAAATCGGGTGCACCTTGCCCTGGCCTCCTGCGCGGTGGGTAATTTTTTCCTTGTCTTCCCCTGACCAAACTGCCGCCGGGGTTGCCATTTCAACAAGTGTGGAGCTGGAAAGGTGGATTGCTTTTTTTTTTTTTTTTTTTTTTTTTTTTTTTTTGTATCCGGAATCCTCATTTTTTTTCTTTGTGTGGCTTTAAAAAAAATCTATACGAAACCTTGGCTTTCCCCTCCTCCTCTGATCACCTCCTCTCCCAGCTAATTAGTTAGAGTAATTCGAGAGCTTTTGGATTCTAAGACCCGGGGAGGAAAAGTGTCTTTTCAAAGTTCATAAAGTTGTTGCCTCTTTCCCGGAGCAGATTTTCTCAGTCTCCCTGCGCCATAATAGCCCTGAATTTTAGCAAGTGTAATTGGGGGAAATGGAGTTGAATTTCAAGTGGAAATGCTTTTCTTTTTCGAGTGCTAAAACCTGGCCCTTCAGTCTTGAGTGATTTCTCGAAAGTTTAAAAACAAAGTAAATGTGGTTTCTTTCTTTCTTCCTTCCTCACCCACCCCAAAGCTCTCTAAGCCATTCTGGGTGTTTAGCTGGAGCTTGGGACGGTTTGAAGAGGGGCAGAAACAGAAATGAAAGCAAAGTGCCTCCAAGTCTTGCCGAGCACTGAGGGGAATAATAGTTGTTGCCGTTGACATTACATTTTTTACAGCCTGTGACCTCTGCAGACGTCTGAAGGCGATTTGATTAGTTGTTATCTTACTTGGCCCTGGAGGGTAAAACTTTGTCGTCCTAATTGCTAATTACTCTCTGGCCCAGGGGCAGAAGGAGGGAAGGGGCATACTTCCCTTCACCCTTTGGGGCTGGGTTTTGAAAATTAATAAAAGCAACAGCGGCTATGGGGAGCTGAGGCCTGTGCGGGGACAGGAAGAGCACAGCGGCCTTGCGCCCACGGCCTGGGTGACTTGGGAGATTTCTGGAGCCTCTTTCACCCTGGATGCAGCTCTGTGGCCCCAGGAAACTGCAGGAATCCCCAGGCTGGGCTGGGGGCCCGGTCAGGCTTCTCAGAGACCACAACTGCTTCTGGGTATCTTGCCCCCGCCCCCACTCCGTGTCCCGGGTTGCTTTTGCTTGAAGTGTTAACGATTACTTTAGTAATTAGATAGCTTCTTAGCCCAGAGCCGGTGAGGAGGGAGCAGAATGGGAACTTGAAATGTTAGCACCTTCCCAGCTGCTTTGAAAATTAATCAGCCAGGCCTTTCAGGGATCCGATGGAGATTTGTTTTTAAAAAATGGCATCAGGAAAGTACTAGCCGGGCAGGGGGCATTGGTTTGTGCCATGTGCAAGGTGGCCCCGGACAAGAGTTCGGGAAGTTTCACCCCTCCAGGGAAACCCCGCACCTCCTGTCCACCTGCCTCAGGAGCCGGAGCCCCACACGGGGGAGGGACCCGCGGCCGGAGTAGGGTTTCCTCCCGCTCTGGCAGGGCTGAGCGAGGCCTGGAGCGGTGGGAGGAGGCGTTGGAGAGCCAGCGGCGCGGGCAACGTACCCGCGCCAGGCCGGCATCTACCAGCCCACGATCGGATGCTGGGAAAAAGTCCTTGGTGAGGTTTGATTTTTTTGGATTTAAGCTGCCACCCAGTTAGTTGAAGATTAGACTACAAACAGCTTCACAGGGGAAAATGTACTTCTTGAAACTCTGTGCGGCCAGGCAGGCACCATTAGAATCGTCTCAGGCAAAAGAGGGAGAAGGATAATTTTTAAAAAGCCGACAGAAATGACGCCGTGACTGTATTGTTACTGCACCTCTTTTTTGGGGGGGCGAACCTCCTGAATGGGCTCTTTATTGTCACTCTCCTTTCCCAATTGAGCTCCCCACAGCGCCCTTGTATCTTTTACTGCCACTAACAACTCATACCAGTAACACAATTACCCCTGATATTTATAAAGAGAAACGATGTGTCCATTTTCCCCTCTCCACACCAGAAGGAGTTTTTAGCGGTTGGAGGGCGCTGGTGGGGGGTCAGGCTGGGGGACGCTCCAAGTCAGAGCTGGAGGAAGGTCTCCTGCTCCCGAGGGTTGGCCAGTTGTTGCTTGGAAGCTGCGGGGGCCTGGGCTCTGCTCCGGGCCGGCGAGGGAGCCAGAACAGCAGCCATTGTTCGGTCTGAAGGCTCCTCCGACCACGCTCACCCCCTCCTGTTCCTACTTTTTAAAGCAGCCAGCCGAGGTAGACAGCGTGTGTCAGCGTGCAGGATCGGGGCACGATCTAAACACCCAGATTGCCACAAGTGAGGCGTGCGTGCTTGCATACATGTGGGGAAAGTTGGGCTTGCGGTTTGCTACAAGAGACCCAGAAGGCTGGGGGAAGTCGGAAGGGGCTGTTCAGGAAGTCTTGGGGGGCCCAGATGAAGGAGTAAACAGAGACTTGGGCTCTGGGGGCTTGGGACCACTGAGGTGGTGGGCACCCTCATAGCAGGAGAGGTGCAGCCCTGCAGCCTTTCTGCAGCCCGTGCCCGCGAGGTCCGTGAGGGGAGGTCAGGCGAGCTGTGAAGTGCCTGGAAGTTCCCTTCCCTAAACTTGCAAACTTTCAGGCCTTGGTCCCCTTTCTCCCCTGCCTGTCGGTCCTGCTCCTTCCCCACCCGTCTCCTCTGGTTTCTTTTTCTCCTTCCCTTTCGCCTGGACCTCAATATTTTTGCAAAGCAAAACCCTCGCTCGCTCCTAAGATTCTTCTGTTCTCCCAGCCGAGCCAAAGCTCGCTTCTCCAGAGGGTGGATGGGGCATCCCAGGATCGGCTCCCGGGAATGTGAGTGCACTGCTGGAATCTGGATCTCTGGAGTGGCTGAGTCCGGACTCCCATTTTGCCCAGGTTGGGGCTGAAGCTGTCCACCGGCTGTGCTTCTATCCGCAGTCTCACTTGCCCTTCTCTCCCTGGCACTGTCTTAGGGGGAAGACTTTAGGGGTGTGCAGATGTGTGAAGCCTGTTATTCGGAGAGCGGACAGACATCCCCAATTGCAGGCAAGTTCTGAGATACTGCCCTGGGCTGCAACACGGAGTCCAAAGCAACTGTTTCAGGGTATTTCTGCATTAGGCTTCAGATAGAAGAAAAAAATCAGGTCTCCTGACAGAAGCATCTGACAGACCTCAATTGGGAATACTGGGGTGTGTTATTTGAAGCCCTGAGGAGCTCTTGGGCCTTCACTAGAGTCAGAGGGAGATGACCCTAAGCTCCCCAAGCCTTTGAGTGGATCCATTTCTAAATAAGGCGGATTCCACTGCCAGGCCCAAGTCGCCGGGTGGGGCTGGGCCTGCCTGGTGCAGCACCGGGTTTAACTCCTGTTTTCCTGCTGACAGAGCCCTGCACTCCAGCCCCAAGGGACCCCGAGGCCCACAGCCAGTGCCAGCATGCAGAACAGTAAGTGCCAGGCCTGAGGCTGTTGGTGGAGGGAGGGTGGGAATGAGGCTGGGACCCTCCAGGAGGGACGGGCTGGAGCTGAGCCTGCAGAGCAGGCTGCTCCAGTAGAGGCACCCCATCCCCCCCAATCCCTTAACTCACACCCCTCCCACCCCTGCCCGGGCTCTGACCCCAGAAAGGGGCTGGTGTATGGGGCAAGACAAGCTGAGAGCCAGGCTCCTGGGTGAGGGGATACAAGTCCCGACTGGATGGGGTGGGGGCTGTGGCCAGGGGCTCGGCACTGGTCAGGCCTGGTGGGTGGAGTGGGGGCCACATTGTGCGACCCGAGAAGGCCAGCTCTGCACTGGCCACTGCCACCATGCTTTCTGGGTGCCTTCATCTGCCCCTGGGCCCCAACCCTTCTGCATGCATGCAGGAGGGCAGGAGCAGGTTGGGGTAGGCTCTGGAGGCTGTGGTGCGGCTAGGCCTGGGATTCTGCAGCCTGGGACCCAGACAGCCGCGCTGGGCCTGCCCAGCACCTGGGCAGGTGGGCACGGGGCTCCGCAGGCGGCACAGGTGGCCACTCTGGCAACCCGGGTCTCCTGGCTGAGCCTATGCAGCTCTCAGGCTTTGTGCTGAGGTTCCTGGTGTGCTCAGTATGGAACCTCCAAATTGGCACCATATGTTTTCCTGTTAGAGGCTTCGAGGTCGAATTCGAGGCCCATAATCATCACTACTGGGCGAGTGCGCTGGGTCCCCAGGGAGGGACGTGATGATTGAGGCTTAACCTCGGGGCGGATCAGAGCGCGGCCTCGCGGCCTTTTCAGCGCTGGCAGCAGCGGTGGCAGAGTGGCTGGTGCTCCGCAGGCTGAGGTCTGGGTGGCAGCCCCAGCCTGGGCACAGAGACCTGGATGCCCTGGGCACAGGCATCTGCAAAGCTGCCTCGGGCCCCTGTTCCTGGGAGACTCCCTGGCCCCAGATGCAGTGCCCCAGCTAGCGCTGGGAACCAGGCTAGGTGGTGGTGAGGCTCAGGAGCAAGGTGAGGCCTGCTGGCCGGAGGAGTGGTGTCCCCACCATGGCCAGGCAGAAGCCCAGAGCCCCCAAATGCCTGTCACTTCTCATTGCGCTGAGGCCCCAGCCCCCCTTGCGGAGGGCCCCCCCCCACCTGCAGCCTTGGGCTACCCTGGAACAGAGGCGCCCTGGAAGGGGAAAGGGGTGCAGTCCAGGCTTGTCTGAGTGATCTACAAATAGGGATGGAAAGGGTCGTTTCATCACGGTCCCGTTTGTCGTGACGATGCAATTTCCTGGAGCGGAGCACTGTCACAAAGTGACAGGGCTGCCACCAGCGCCCCGACTGATCTTTTCAATTAGCCTTCCATGCATGATCTGGAGCGACTTTCGCCTATTTCCAGAAATTAAGCTCAAACTTGACGTGCAGCTCGTTTTATTTTAAAGACAAATGTCAGAGAGGCTCATCATATTTTCCCCCCTCTTCTATATTTGGAGCTTATTTATTGCTAAGAAGCTCAGGCTCCTGGAGTCAATTTATCAGGAGGCTCTGAGGAGGAGAGCTGAGAGGAGCGAGGAGAGGCGGCGCGGGTGCGCACGGACGGAGCCCAGCTTCTCTTCCCCGGGAGGGCTGCTCTAGACTCGGGTTGCAGGTTGGAGACTAAGGCCAGAAGCTGGGGGCCTGCTGCCTCCATGCTCTGTGGTTTGGGGGAGCAGATGCGGCAAGGGCTCCCTGGTCCCTGAGATCAGACAATGGAGGAGGCCATGGGATGCAGATGGAGGGGCCAGCACGGCACTAGGGCACTCGGCTGTGGGCTTCGATGTCGCTTTGGGCTTGGGTTTGTGCTGTGCCTGGCCTTGCTGAGGGCAGAGGGGACCTTAGCAGTACAAGTGGAGGGATAGTGGCCATGTGGGCACTGCGGGGCAGTGGACCCCTTGGTGGGGCCGATCTGAGCCTGGGCTCAATAGGCAACCTTGAGGCACTGGGTCTCAAGCTGGGGCTCTCTGCTCGGTCACTCTGCTTTTCAGTGCCTTCCCCTTCCCTTCTGTGAAAGAACAAAACAAACCCAGCTGGCACTGAGCTGCCTTGCCAGAGTTTAGATGGTGACACCACCACTGCTGGACTTTGGCCCCAAGGCTGCGGTGTGGGGTACTCAGGCTGTGGAGCCCTGAGGGTGAGGGTCAGTGCGCCGGGCAGGTCCCTGCCTGTGGAGATGCCCCAGAATCTCTGGAAGGAGAGGAGAGGGGAGTTGGCCTGCAGGCTGGAGCCTGGTTGGGCTCCTGCAGAGGGCAGTGGCTGTGGCTGGTGGGTGGCAGTGGGTCCAAGTATCCCGATCCTGGGCTCCTTGGAAAGTATGGGCTCCGGGGACCTCCAGTACGGTCGGGGAAAGGGTGGGCTGCCCGTGCCCTGCCTGGCTGGTGGTCCTGTTGTGTGGTTTTCGTGCTCCACAGCAAGGACCCGGTGGCTGAGGTTGGCATGGGTTAGCAGGGAGCTGAGGGTGCATTGTGGTTGTTTCTCTTTCTCTTTTTCTCTTCCTTTCTTCCCCCTTCTCCTCCTCTTCTTTCTCCTCCACTTCCTCTTTTCCTTCTCCTCTTCTCTTCCTTTTTCTTATTCCTCCTCCTCCTGTTTCTCCTGCCCGTCCTCCTCCTCTTCTCTCCTCTCCTGTCCTTTGCCACAGGTCACAGTGGTGTGAATCAGCTCGGTGGTGTCTTTGTCAACGGGCGGCCACTGCCGGACTCCACCCGGCAGAAGATTGTGGAACTCGCGCACAGCGGGGCCCGGCCTTGCGACATCTCCCGAATTCTGCAGGTGATCCTCCCGGCCCCTGCCGGCTCCACTCTCAGCGCCCTCTCTTCATTTCCTCCTGCAAACGCTGCGATGCCGGACCCCACCTCACCCTGTCCTCCAGCTTTCCCTCTCTTCCACTGTCCTCCCTTGTCTCTTTCAACCTGAGTCAGTTGCATAAGAGAATTCATCTGCTCCAGAAAAAATGATGTGTGCATTAAAAAGCAAACACCCCCACGTAGGAAAGCCCCCACGCTGAGAACAGTTCACGCTCCAACAGCAGTGAGCTGGGGGCCGCTGCTGCCCTCTCCATGCAGTTCTCTCTGGAGTTGCGCAAGGGGTCCCGTCCTCCACCACAGAGCGTATGCTGACCTGCAAAGGGGATGCTGTCACTACATCCTGGTGCACTTTCCCTTGATTGGGCCTCTTTTTAGTAAAAAGTGAAAATTCAGTTTATTTTCCCCTTTGCTCATTAGAAGACACCACTCCTCAGAGCACGGTCAGCACCAAAAATTTAATTTGACTTCGTTTTGATGCATCTTCTGGCAGTGTTTAGGAAGAATTTTTTAAAAAATTTTTAAGATTCTTTTTTTAAGTGCAAGATGTTTGAAAGTCTCACCCATTTGTAGTTTTTAGGGCTACCAGTATAATTTTAAAAAAGAAAAGCACGCTACAGTAAGCTCTCGTACCATTGAAGGTATATTTTTGTGTTATAGACCCATGCAGATGCAAAAGTCCAAGTGCTGGACAGTCAAAACGTAAGCTTGTCATTGTTTAATGCATACTTAAACAATTTTATTTTTGTCTTGAAATTATTAATAATGTGGTTTTCTGCCCACTTCCCCATGCAGGTGTCCAACGGCTGTGTGAGTAAGATTCTGGGCAGGTATTACGAGACCGGCTCCATCCGGCCCAGGGCCATTGGTGGCAGCAAACCCAGAGTGGCAACTCCAGAAGTGGTCAGCAAGATAGCCCAGTACAAGCGGGAGTGCCCGTCCATCTTCGCCTGGGAAATCCGAGACCGGCTGCTGTCCGAGGGGGTCTGTACGAACGACAACATACCGAGTGTGAGTTCTGGATGCTGCGCTCTGCTCTGCCCGCTGATCCTTCTCCCGACCTTCTCCCTTCAGTGACACTGGGTGGCAGAGGGGGCCCTGGGCGTGGCTAGCCATCTGGAAAATGGGGGTCAGATCAGAGAGCTGTTCCCTTCCAGCAAACCAGAGCGGGCAGGAGCACTGGGGAAAGGCACTAGGACCACACTGGGATCAGGAGGAAAATGAAATGGAAGGCTATTCCACCTGGGCAGGGCACCCCCCCCTCCGCACTTCCCTCAGCCCCACACCGGCTCCCTGAAATAGAGCCCTGCACGGGACCCTGCCCAGGTCCCACCTGTGCCCCTGATGTGAGGGAGCCCCTCCCCCGCACCTAGAGAAGAGGAAGGAGCCCAGCCCCCCTCCTCCCGACCAGATTTCCCTGCCGGCTCTGTCTCTCCTGTCTCCAGCATCTACTCACCGTGCCAGCGTGGCTGGCGCTCTCCTGGGAGAGCTGCTCTGCACGGGAGCCTAGAGCCAGGCGGGTTGTGGGTGGCTTTGTCTTGGGGAGATGCTGCTGCTGGGTCTGATTTGGGTTGGTCTGCAGGTGTCATCAATAAACAGAGTCCTCCGCAACCTGGCTAGCGAAAAGCAGCAGATGGGCGCAGACGGCATGTATGATAAACTAAGGATGCTCAACGGGCAGACCGGAAGCTGGGGTGCCCGCCCAGGGTGGTATCCAGGGACTTCCGTGCCTGGGCAGCCCACGCAAGGTAAGAGCCAGGCAGCCATCCCCCTCACAGCCAGGCCCCTTGTGGGCAGAGGTGGGGGGGACTGGTGGCCTGCGGCAGAGGCCTGGGCACAGCAGGTGGCATTCGGTGCAGGTGGCAGGGCTGGGCATGTGAGGGTCAGGCGTACATCAGGAGTGGCACAGAGGTGGCAGACTGTGTGTGTGAGCGTGCGTGTGTGACTGTGGGTAGGGCACGTGTGTAAGGCAAGTGCACAGCTGCTGTCCACATCTGATGTGGGAGTACACAGCCTTCTGCAGCGGGGCAAGAGAGCAGGCTCACAGCCCTTGAGGTGGACAGCACTGTGCTGTGTCTCTTTTTGAGGTGCTGGCACCTGCTGGCCTCCGGTTGTTGCCGGCAAGGGTGAGGGGCTGCGGCCAGTGAGCGCTCATGGGAACTGGAGGAGGGGCCACCACCAGCCCCTGTCCTGCCCTGCTCTTCTCTCACCTCTGTGGGTGGCCACCTGTCCATTCCTGGAGGGGAGCCCCAGGGTCCCTGGCCCCTTCTGGTGGGATGGGCGGAGTTGGGGGGCAGCCTCAGCCAGATGGCTTGGTGCAGCCAGGAAGTAGGGGGCCAAAGATGGATCTCAGAGCTGTGCCCAGATAGGAGATAATGCGCGGATGACATGGATCAGGGGTCTCCCTCAGAGCCCAGCGCAGCCCGCTGGGGACCCGGGACCCTTGGGCTCCTTGTCCTGTGCCCCACCGGCCAGTGAGGGAAGGGGAAATCGGCAACAGTATGCGGAATATGTAGTACAAAAGATGCTTCTGTCACTCGCAAGAATTTGTTATGGGGACAATCCTGTCGCTCTATAATTGCTCATTAGAGAACGTTTTGTTTCTCATTAAGGCGACATGAATGAGCGTCTAGTTGAAGGAGACAGCTGTAGAAATGTTCCACAAGAGACCTCTGGACACGATTCGGCACCAATTGCCAATTAGACATGTCAGTTTTAAGAGCAGGAAACAATATAGGACGGACACTGGGAAGATAGGAGTCCAGCGCTGCCTCTGCTTCCCAGCGTGGCCGGCCGCATGGCCCAGGAGGCTGAGGGCAGTATGTGCAGCAGCCCAGTGCCGGATGCCCAGGAATGTCCCAGGGACGACCACTATCCTCTCCAGGGCCTCTGGGGGAGGGTGCAGGGCCAGGGCGGGTGGAGCCAGGGCCGCTGCTCACTGCTCGCTCAGGTGCAGCCTCCTCCTCCCACTGGGTTGAGTGGTTGCATCCTCAGGGTCTGTGGTGACCTTGGGCCTGGGGTGGTGCTGGCTCAGGGCAGTGAACTTCGTCACCAGTGTCCCCCACCCTGGCTCACCTGAGGATGTGGGGGACACAGACACGGTGGCTCTCACCTCCTCTGTCCTGGGACTTGGAATTCAGCACTCCAGGGGACAGACATCATCTCTACCTGAGGACACCACAGTGGGGATGGGGATGATGAAACTGCAGGGGTGGGGGACACCTCGGCCAAGTTCCCAAGTGGGTCAGGTTGGGCTGGGGATGCGGGGGGCGGGGGGACCCTGCCCACTCCTTGTTCCCAAACCCCTGTGGGACTGGGTGCCCTCCTTTGTCACCAGGTCACTGGGGGGTTCATCCCTGTCCCCTCCTCCATCCCCAGAGGCCTTAGGTTTGATCCGTGCAGCCAGGACAGTGCCGCCGCTATCTTTTCTTGCTCGATTTCCGCTTCACTGATTGCGACACTAAGAAACCAAGGAATGATTTTATTTCCCAGCGTCTTTCTCCTCTTCCTCCAGGACACAAATCCCATCCCCAGCGCCAGGGCAAGGCCTGCACGGCGCAGGTTGGGGGTGGCCGCCCCCCACTCAGTCCTGATGCTGGGCTCTGGCGCAGTGTCGCGTGTGCATCTGAGAAGGTTGATGGGAAGGACAGGTGCTGAAGGGGCCCAAGAGGGCACCGGTCTGAGTGACCACTGCCCCCACCGCCTCACTGGGGACAGACAGCTGCCTCTTTTCAAGCAGCCAGCCCCTACCTGGCTGTGTGTTGGCCCCACCTCTCCTTGCTGGCCCCAAACTGCACTTTTTATGGAAGATTTAAAATCTAGTTCCCGTCCCCTGCTGACACCCTCCCCTGCACACACATCAGAGATTGCGCGTGCCTACAACAGTGTGTGTGTGGACCTCCATCTCTGCTCTGCCCTAGGAGATGGCCGCCCGGCCAAGCTGTTGGCCTCCTGGAGACCCAGTGCCCCCTGGATATGTGGCTCAGCCCCCAGCCGCAGCGCCCTTCCCCCACAGCCGCAAGGAGTAGGGGGCGCTCTGAAGCCCAGGTCGTGCAGCGGAGGCAACGCCCGAGGAGCGGGCGGGGGCTCTTCCTCCTCCCTGTCCTTTCCTCTCCCACCTTTCAGGCCTCTGTCTTTCTCCCTCCACCTCCCTGTCACCCTCTAGGCCCCCACCCAGGGCCTATCTGGCCCTTGGCCCAAGCACCCCTGGAGGGCTGTAAGCCTCCACTTCTGCCCCTCTTTTTGGCCGGCACCCTGCGCAGCAGGGAGGCCCTGTCTTCATCCCCGGCTGGTCCCCAGAGCCTTTCACCCCTCCTCCTCCGTCCTGTCCTGTCTCCTCCCGGCCAGCGTCCTGCCTGGGGAAGGCCCCATGCCCTGCTCGGACAGTGATTAATGATAGCGGAGCAGAGGGGTTAACACACTGCGCTGAGAAGTCTGTTGACTGGCTCCTTGTCACACAATGTGGCCGCTGCACGCCTCAAGAGAATCCTTTTGTTGTCGGCGCTCATTGTGGCCTCAAAATTCTGCCCACGAAAGTTTGCCAACGCTCCTGCCCAGGAGTTTAATAGTTTCCCTTACTCGCCGGGCTTTGTGCGCTCTGAAAAGCGGCCCGCGCTATTCAAGTGTTGGTGGTCATCTCAATAGATCTCGGAGGGCCCATATGGTGGCCAGTGCCGATGAATCCGCCTGTTTAAATGGGGGAGAAAGTTGGGGTTTTAAAACATTTCAGAGTTCCTGAAAGGGTCCCACTAGATCCGGTCACAATTCCCCGGGTGCTTTGAAGGCGCTGCCCATTGTGTCCTGGTTATAAATGATATTCCTGGCCTGGTGGATTCCCACCAGGCTGCCCTGCTCCTCCCCCGCAGCTGCGGGCACTGTCCCTGGGGGGTGTCCCTTAGGGACTTCAGGACCCAGGATCCAGCCTTTGTGGCCCACAGTCCTTCCCCTTGGACAGGCAAAGTGGGAGATGGCCAGCCCAGGCACATGTCTCACCCTCTGACGGCAAAGGCAAACAATAAAACTTTCCCTTGTGTAATGATAGAAATTACATTAAAAGTCCTGGAAATGCCCTAATTAAAAATGTACCACTTGCACGAGATGCCAAGACTTCAGCTGCAACATGGCCTATTGAGCGAGTTAGCGAACTCTATTTCTTTTTTAAAATTACACGTTAAAAATTTAAAAGAAATCTTACTTTTCTCTGGTGCAACACATTACAAAGAATGGACAGTCCTTTTATCTAAATATAAAATTCCATTTTCAGCAATTATAGCCTGTTCTTGGTGATGATATAATTACAGCTGTGCTCGTAATAGGTGTCAAGGCGACGCACTCTCATACAATAGTTGAATAAAACTGCAGAACAATGCAAGTACTTCTAAATTCACAACCTTTAAAATGAAATTGACTGTGCAGAATTCAAATAAAAACTAGATAAATATTTTTTTAAAAAGATTACAAGCTTGGTTTGGTTTCTTAATAGCATTTTCTACAAACCTATCAACATCTAATTGATTAGATGGGAATTACTGATTATAGATCAGCTGAAATCTTGTACATCACTCTTATATTTTCCCAACACAGGCCTAGGTAGAGACGTGGTGGGGCTGGATGGGGAAGCATTTGGGAGTGGGGGCCGCTTCGACATTAGTGACTGTCCTGTCACCCAGAGAAACGCCACCCTATCTTCCTGGACAGTGATGTCTCAGCTTGGGAGGACAGGAGTGGCTGCCAGGTGACCGGCCTCGTCAGGGCCCATCCCAGGAGGATGCTGCCACCTGGCCACCCTGGGAATGCCCGGCAACACTGCCACACTCTGGAGCCCAGGCCCAATGTGTGTCCCTCCTGGTCTCACTGTCTGTCCTCTTTCCATCCAGATGGGTGCCAGCAGCAGGAGGGAGCGGGGGAGAACACCAACTCCATCAGCTCCAACGGGGAGGACTCGGATGAGGCACAGATGCGGCTGCAGCTGAAGCGGAAGCTGCAGCGGAACCGGACCTCCTTCACCCAGGAGCAGATCGAGGCCCTGGAGAAAGGTGACGGCAGGTGGGGGGCAAGCAGTGGGCGGCGGGCGGCGCTGCCCCTTGGGACGGGCTGGAACTGCAGGCACCTCTGCTCAGAGGGCTGGGCCCACATGCTTTCCTTTTTGTCCTTTGTTTCCTCTGGGCATCTTTTCGGGGTGTCTCTTGTTGTCTTTTCACGCCCCACTAAATCAAGGCGACATGTGTGATCTGGAAAGGGGAAGTGGTGGTTCCGCTGTTCCAGGCACAGGGCGTCCCTGGTGTGAGCGTTGGGAGCTGGCAGATCCCCAGGGTGACCCTGGGGTGATGAGGGCCAGGTCCAAGCTGGGCTGTGCCTTCATGCCCTTCGGACCCTGCATGGCACTGTCTTCTTCTTGCAGAGTTTGAGAGGACCCACTACCCAGACGTATTTGCCCGGGAGAGACTAGCCGCCAAGATCGACCTGCCCGAAGCCAGGATACAGGTACGGCTGGCCAGGGCAGAGGGTCCCTACAGGCACTGCTGGCGGGGCGGGGCAGGCCGGGCCTGAGCCTCGTCCTCTCCTCTCCAGGTCTGGTTTTCCAACAGAAGGGCCAAGTGGAGGAGAGAGGAGAAGCTTCGGAACCAGCGGAGGCAGGCCAGCAACACCCCCAGCCACATCCCCATCAGCAGCAGCTTCAGCACCAGCGTGTACCAGCCCATCCCACAGCCCACCACCCCTGGTAACTGGTGCCCGTGCCCCCACCCCACACCCGTATCCCTGGCCTGGCTGTGCCGCTCACCAGCTCCCATGTCTTTCCACAGTGTCCTCCTTCACGTCTGGCTCCATGCTGGGCCGGACAGACACGGCCCTCACCAACACATACAGCGCGCTGCCCCCCATGCCCAGCTTTACCATGGCCAACAACCTGCCTATGCAGGTAAGCAGAGGCAGGACGGTTTCTCTCCATGGAGATCAGCTTGAACTGTCAGGCCCTTAACAAAGAGGAATGGAAATACTGGAACTGGTGTGGCCCAGCCCTGAGAGACATGGCTACCGGGGGTGCTGTCCCCTCAGGAGCAAGGGCCACTCCTAAGCATCCCAGCGTCTCCTGCCCCAGCATTCTCATCCCTAGGCTGGTGTGTGGGAGTGGGCAGGCAGGTGAAGCAGAGGCGCTTGCTGGGAGGATTCCCGTGTGCAAAAGAAAACCCCACTTGATCAGGGGCGGCCATGACAGTGGCTGTGATAGTGGCCATCCTGCTCTCCACTCGGGGCAGCGAGAGATGGCGGGTGTAGCGGGAGACGCCTCTGCCTGCTTGTGTTTTCCCCACCAGACTCGTGCTGAATTTCAGATCTAGCAGCCAAAAAGCCAGTGTCCCGGGCCTCGAACCCATCCAGAAGGGTGGGATGAGCAGCTTCTGCACAGCCCTATGGGGTTTGGACAGGCCTTCTCTCGGCTTGACTCTCTATGTCCTCTGCTCCAGGACACCGCAGAGTCGTGTGGGTCATGTGTCCAGCATTTGTGAAAACAGTGGGGCGAGGCAGCCATGGTGACTGAGAGCCCTTTGGGCAGCAACAGAACCTGGCTTTAGGAGTGGGACTGGTCATCTGTCCATCTGTCCATCCTGGTGACCAGCAGCCCTAGCCACGTGGCACAAGGCAGGTCACCCAAGACTGGTGTTGCCCAGTGCTCCTGTGCACACATCCCTTGGCTGCTGCCCGGAGGCTCGCAGCAGGGCTCTCCAGCTTCTCAGGACAGAGGAGGGGCTGTTGTCCAGTGCTGCCATGCTGAGCTTTTGGGGTGCGGTGCAGTTTCGTAGATGAACCCCATGTGGGCGGGGCCACTCAGGAAAGGTGTTTCCATTCCTAACACTCCGGCATGGTCACCTGAGGTCATCACAGGTCAGGGCACCCCTAGTCCTAGTGCCTGAGGGCATGGTTCTCCTGACCCCTAGCACCTCACACGTGCCCCAGAGCTTGGGATTCCCAAGACCAGGTCTGTGAGAATGGGGGCTGCGGGAACTGGGCTACCGGCTCTGAGGCCCTGTTCATGTGTAGACAGCACAGCCATCGTACTAGATGCCGTCTGAAGGCACAGAGCTGTCTGAGTGTGTTTTGGTTTGGTTTGGGTTAGTTGGTTTGGCTTTGATTTGAGGCAAGGTCTCACTAGATACCCCAGGCTGGCCTTGTGCTCATGGTACTCCTCCTGCCTCAGCCTCCCAAGTGCTGGATGACAGGTGTGCGCCACCACGCCCAGCTGTGGCCAGCCCAGCTCAGGCCAAGGGTCAGGGGTGGCTTGCCCCTGCCCCAAGATGACCCAGGTCCTCCTCTCTCCTGCAGCCCCCTGTCCCCAGCCAGACCTCCTCGTACTCCTGCATGCTGCCCACCAGCCCATCGGTGAATGGGCGGAGCTACGACACCTACACGCCCCCGCACATGCAGACTCACATGAACAGTCAGCCCATGGGCACCTCGGGCGCCACGTCCACAGGTGAGCCTTGGGTTGCCCCCAGGCTACACGCAGCTGGCCCTTAAGAAGCTTTCGCCAGCCCATCTCAAGGCTGATTCAGAGCCTCCAGCGAGGGTGTGTTGGACTCTGCTGCCCATCTCAGGGCAAAACTGACCGAAAGGGAAAGTAAGTCACGCCCATTTGTAACTTGAGCCCAGGTGCAGTGAAAGGTGCTTCTCCTTAATGTGGTGCAGGAAGCTGACTGCTTCTCCATACGGCTTTGGTGTCCCCTGCGCAAGCCAGCAGCTCCACACTCCGTCCTCTGGGGACGGCCCGATGACCCCGATGACGCATGTACTCTCGGAGGCTTTGTCCTTTTCCTGGGGGCTAGGGGGTGGGGAACAGTGGTTCTGTCTGCACCACATGCTGTTGTTTCTGGCGGGGCCCTTCTCTGGCAGACACAGCAGTGTTTTTTGTTTTTTTGTTTTGTTTTTTTTTTTGAGATGGAGTCTTGCTATGTAGCCCAGGCTGGCCTCTCTCTCACTGCCGAAGCTCCTGCGTCAGCCTCCTAAGGGCTGGGATGACAGGCGTGTGTGCCACACCCAGCTTGGAAGAGCTGTGATGCCCTTAGGAGTACAGCACACTCCTCCTCCGTGCCTGGCCCTTGGAGATAATTTCTTTCTTCCATTTTCCAGGTCTCATTTCTCCCGGCGTGTCGGTTCCAGTCCAGGTTCCTGGGAGTGAGCCTGATATGTCTCAGTATTGGCCAAGATTACAGTAAAGAAAGAAAAGGAAATTGTGCTTCTCGGTCAGTGACTTTTGTGGCCACACGGGGCGCTCGGGAAAGGTAAAAGTGGGACTGAAAGGCGCTGAAGCACTTCCCACGCTGGCCTGGGGCGGTGGCCTGGGCCACGCAGGACAACTGTGCGTACCAAGGCGCGATCTCAGTTGGAACAAATCTTCATTTTGGTATCCAAACCTTTATTCATTTTGGTGTATTATTTGTAAATGGGCATTTGTATGTCATAACAAAACACAACAAACAATGTAGGCTGGGTGGAGGTTTGACCCAGGGTGGTCATGAACGTGTTTGAAGAAAACAAAGGAAAAAAAAGGAAACCATGATCAGCAAGGTTTGCCACGAACTTAAGAGTTTTATCCAGATATATCGAGTCCTTCTACCCATCTGTTCCTAGGCAGTGGGCTGAGGCCCCACGTTTGTATCATCCCTTGCATATAATTCAACCTGGAATGACATGCACTAGATTTATGTAAGAAATATGTTGGTTTTCCAAAGGTTGTTAACAAATGAAGTTTATGTGCAAAAAAAAAAGGGGGTAAGCTATAAATTCAAGGAAGAAAAAGTTGATAGCTAAAAGGTAGAGTGTGTCTTCGATATAATCCAATTTGTTTTATGTCAAAATGTAAGTATTTGTCTTCCCTAGAAATCCTCAGAATGATTTCTATAATAAAGTTAATTTCATTTATATTTGACAAGAATACTCTATAGATGTTTTATACACATTTTCATGCAATCATACATTTCTTTTTTTGGCCAGCAAAAGTTAATTGTTCTTAGATATAGTTGTATTACTGTTCACAGTCCAATCATTTTGTGCATCTAGAATTCATTCTTAATCAATTAAAAGTGCTTGCAAGAGTTTTAAATTTAAGTGTTTTGAAGTTGTTCACAACTACATATCAGAATTAACCATTGTTGATTGTAAAAACCATGCCAAAGCTTTTGTATTTCCTTTATTATACCACTTTTTTTTTAACTTTACAGTGTGGTGTTACAAAGTTTGTTCCCATGTTAGATCACATCCCTTGAAGCAGTAATTCTCCCCCATCACACAACTGGAAAAACTTCCCCTTAAGTTGTGTGGCCCCGTGCCCGATCACAGCCCATATTCCAAATGGACGGCTCGGGGTCCCCGGCCTGCCCCTTGCCTCCCGACCAAAGCCCCTGAGACCCTGCTGTGTCATCAGGACCCTTGCCAGTTTTCCGAAGTGAGGCCTCCAACGGGGGTACAGTGACCGCGAGGGCCGCCGTTTCCACAGGGCCCTGCAGCCGAAGCTGCGCCCACTGGCGAGCCGCGCTGGCCACGAGGGTGGATGCTGCGTGTGGAGGCATCACAAGCGGAGCGCTGGGAGAGCAGAGCTGCACATGGGGCCATGCAGGCCTTGACCCCTGGGTGCAGGGCTTGGCCGGGTCACTGCTGCGGTCCACGCTGCAAACTGTAACCCACTGAGGCTTCTTCTTCCGCGGACCTGTGGGCGAGGTCAGGCCTCTGCACGCCCGGCCTCGGAGGAGATGCGCTGGCTCCTGACCGCGGCCCGCACGGCTCTTTTGTTAATCCCTGAAGGCAGATGATGAAAAATGCAGAAATCAACCGGATGACTGGAACCGGCCCTAGCTCGGCACCTGCCGCCTTCTGGGTCAGGGAGGCCTGGGCGGCTCGCAGGGGTGCAGGTGTCTGGCCTGCCGTGCACTGAGGCTTCCCTTCCGCTTGTGCACAGGGGCGGAGTGCATGCGTGTGCGTGTGCACTGGCCCGTGCAGATGGTTCTGCTCCTAGTGCCCTGCAGCCTCTGCTCCCCGAGGGTAGTGCCCAGGAGACCACCGGGGACATGGGAGTGGCCGGCCTATCCCGGGTAAGGAGGGAGTTTCCAGGCGGCTGTGATGTGGGCCAGCATCCCACTGCAGCGATGGGCACCAGGCTGGGCCTGGTGGGCAGCGGGCTTGTGTGCTCAGGCACAGATGCAGGTGCAGCTGAGAGCAGCTCCCCAGGCACAGGAGCCCTGGCTGAGCAGAGTGAGGACGCTGCTCCCTGCAGCTACCACCCCAGGACATGCAGGGTCCCTCTGAGTTGTCCAGGATTCTGAGGACAGCACACTGACAGTTGAGTGGCCGTGCCTGGCTGCTGGCCTTGCCCACTGATGTGATAACTTATTTTTGTTGATTTATTTGCTGATAGGTGCATTGCTGTATCTCCCAGACGACACCCGCCGGGGCATTTGGACCCTTGGTCTCCAGGGTGAAGGGCTCAGGAGGAACCCTGGAACCAGCAGCCCCATTTGTCCCCAGATACAACTGGGAAGTCAGATGGACACAATGAGAGCTGCGTGACTAGGAGGAGAGCACCATTTAACGGGGAGGCCTCAGGCTGGTTGATTTGGGTAGAAGGCACGTGGGCGCGGCCCTGCTCCTGAGACAGCGCTGGTGAACTGGGGCTGGCCGTGAGCATGTCATCCTACAGGGTGTCTAGCACCTGCGCCTTTCTTTGTGCTGCAGATCTTAGGTTGACAAAGACAAAAACCCAATGAGAAGCTGGTTTTGGGCCCTGTATTTGCCTCATGAGAGTCACATGCCCAATTTCAGCTCACAGTGCAGTGACTGAGTCAGTGTGACTCCATCTTGTAGCTGCCGGGAGGGACCCTCTGGGAACACGGTATCTCAGAATGACATTCATGATGGGCTGGAACACGTGACCAAGGCCGCCACCTTTGTGCATGTGTGCATGAGTGTCTCGGTCACGAAACTCAGAAGGTAGACCCGAGACTAGCTGAGCAAAGTCTCCGGTGAAGCGTTTTTATGTCATCTTGGGTTAGCGTTGGAGATCCTGGAGTTGGAGAGCAAGAATGAATGGAAGAGAGCAAGAGAAGAGTGGCATTGGCTGGTGGCGACTAAAACCAGATTCAGACGGGTCTCTCACTGCCCGGTACCTGAGCAGATGGCAGCAGTCAAAATATTGACCTCGTGCTGAAGGCAGGCAGATCTAGCACAAGAAAGGAGCCACACACAGGGCCCTGAGCTCAGTGACTGGAAACATTTAAAAGCGAGGAGGACGTTCCCAGGCCTTACATTGCGACTGTTCTTAACTGTTTATAACTGGTGACTAAAAAGTCTGTTAGCAGAATGTGTATTTCACATCACCTCACAAGAGTCTGTATGCATACACTGGCACTTTTGAAGGCCATTATTTTTTAAAGTAAATGTCCAGGAGTAAGAGAAACACACTTTTAGAGCTGGTTCTTATCAGAGGAAAGCCAGGATGTGAGCACTGTCTAGCAGGACTGGCTTCCTTTTACACAGCGTCCATTGAGTCAGAAAAACCAAGGCTGATGCTTTGAAAGCCCAGCACCCTTTACTGTTCAGCACGCACTTTACCAAGTTTGGCAAGTTTCTTTCAACTCTCCGATACGGCTCCAAGCAGGTACACTGGGTTTTTGTAGTATTTATCTATTTGTGTAGCATATATTAACTTGTAATTGGCCGTTAATTTTATAGATGTGGTATGGGGAAGTAAATCAATGACCTATTAAGTATTTTGACAAGCAATTTACATATCTGATGACCTCACATTTCCTTTTCAGAGTCAAATGCTGTGTAATTGTTCTGTTGTGTGTTTGTATAAAACGAACCACAACACGGTAAGGAAAAGGTTAGAGTTATTAAGATAATAATTCGACTGAAGCATTCATCTGGATTTATTTAGCAGACGGCTGCTAATGCTTTCAAAGGCCACAGCACAGCTTTTGTGGAGTCTGCACCGCATTGTTTATTATCTAGGGACCAAACTGATGCCTGAAGTTGCTTTAAGTCTTAAAAGCACTTTTGCTTCATAGAAAAGCCCTTTAATTTTAACTGACAGATCAATCCTGGAACTTTATTTTGAAAAGAAAATGGAGAAGAATTTGTGTCTTTAGAATTAAAAGAGATGAAAAAAAATAAACCAGACATTCTAAAAAAAAAAAAAAAAGAAGAAACTTGAATTTTTAGTACTAATGAAATGGTGACAAAATAGTTGTCTTTTTGATTTTGATCACAAAAAATAAACTGGTAGTGACAGGGTGTGATGGAGAGATTTGACACCCTGGCAAATCGCTGTCATCGATTCAATTATTCCGATTCCGAATGAAAGCTGTGTACAGCGTGTGTTTATGCCGCGGTGGGCTTTTTTTTTTTTTGAGTGACTGGCATTCATCATACTGGTAGACAGTTTTAAAAACCTAGTCTTTGTTTTCTACAATGTTGTCAAGAGCAAATACAGTATAATTTGTGGTATATTAAAAGCAAACTGCTTGAAAATGCTAGTTATAACTGCTTCAAAATACTCGAATACATTTGAAAATGCATTTTGGAAATTCGGTTTCTCCCAATGGAGGTTAAATAGGTTTTTAAAAATTGAAATGCTTGACTGAAATATGCAAGTTCCTTTTTCACTTTCACTTTCTGTCCATTATTTGTCAAAGGCTCTGAGGAAATGGGACTCTGATTTCCAAATCCTGCATTTTGTATGAAAGCTGGCCTCGGGGGCTGCATACCCCAGAGACAGGTTTCTATGCCCGGAATTTACACACTCACCGAGGCTCACCATTAACAAAGGCTCTCCGCCATGAAGCGGAGGTCCGGTTGGTTGGTTTTCTTTCTCCGCTGTGCCTTAGACCTGGACTCTGCAAACCTCTCTCCAGCTCTGCCGGATGCCGCCCCTGCTGTCTGGCATGGCTGTCAGCTTGAATTTTGGTCCTGAATGGCATCTGGCAACCAGTTTCCTAGTGCTGACTTCAGTGCTCGGACTCCTGGCTGGAAGTGCACCCCTCTTTCCCTGCTCTCTGCCCCTCCAGCTCTCTCTGTATTACCTGCTCTGGCAGACTGATGAACGGAGTCCCAACCCCAAATACTATTCTGTTTGCATCATTTTCACAACAGAATGCACATGCATTCCATGTATCAACAACAGAATTTTCTTAAAATTCCCCGCATTTCTCTTGACACTGACTATTTCAGAAAGAAAGAGAACACGCTTCCACAGGCGACCTGCATCTCGTGTCTGCCATTCTGCTGTCCCTTGGCACACGGGCAGCAATGACTACCGCGAGGCAGCTGGATATTTTTGATCTTTTCTTTGTATTTATTGAAAAATAAATCACCTACTTGCTTTAAACAGTGAATGCCAAATTCCAAGACAAAAGTGTCTCTACTGTCCTGTTTCTGTGCAGAAAGTTGGTAGATAAAGTGGGGCTCGGAGGGAGGCTCAGCCTGGAAGAGCTGTCTGGACAGGGACAGGGCAGAGGGCGGCGCTGGCAGTGGAGTTGACGGGTGCATCGGGCTCAGGGCTCAGTGTGGCTGCCGGTCTCTAGAAGTCCAGGTGCTTCTCGCCCCTGGCCAGCCCACTGCAGCCCGGGCCCAGTGGCGGGGTGGCTCTGGCTGGGTCCTGTGCACACCATCGGCTCGCGGCGTCTGACAGGTCCGGAGGCAGGTGCAGGCGCTGTGCAGCAGGTTTCAGGGAGGAGAAAGAAGGGCAAAGTTAATGCTGCTCTTGCCAGCATACTTCAGAAGACAACATCACATCACGCGCTGCAAAACAGCAGTTAGTCCTGCCTCTTGGGTCCCTGCTCCGGAGAATTCCGAAGGCTGGTGCCTGAGACAGTGCATCCTGCTCTTAGGAGACTTTTTCGAATTATGGACAGGGCAGAGGCTTTGTC